GAGAGAGAGAGAGAGAGTCGCGGCGTGCGGCCCCTTTTTTAGACTCGGAGAAAATCGCGCTCGTGGCCAGTCGAGTCCAACACCTGGCGAAAAGAAGGTGCGCGTCGCTGCTGCTGCTGGTGCTGCTGCTGCTGCCGCTGCTGCTGGTTCCGCACGGTCTGAAAGGGCCCGGTGATGAGGTCCGTGGCAGATGCACTAACGCCTGCCTGCCCCCCTTTCTTCTCACCACCCACCACCTCCATCATCATCACCACGAACGTCCGCCAGTCGCTTCCGTATCGTAACAGCCGTGCGGGTGTGACGCCGCTCCTTGGCAACCACCGCTGTTCATACGCGACTACGACTACGCGCCTCCACCGCGTCCCCCCTTTACGCGTCTGCCCTCGACCCTGCCCCTCTGCACCTCCACGCAGCCATGCAGGCGTAGGCCACCACCATGCCTCCGACTTCTCGCAGATCGTCTGCATTGCCACCACACTCTCCCGCCACCTCGCCTCGAAAGCGCCATCCTCTGGCCGAGGAGACCAACCTCAACATGAAGCAGTCGCGATCCCAGGCCGAATTGGGCCCGCAGCAGCAGCGCAAGAGGATCAAGCGATCGCCTTCCCACGATGCACCTCCCTCCTCGTCCCCGCCATCCGCCTCGCAGGGCGCAGAGTCGCGAACTCCACGCCAGACTCGCAGCCAGAACGGTCCTAGCTCTAGCTCGCCCGTCAAGCGCAGGACAATGTTGCCAGAACCAACACCTATCGCCAACGGCTCCCCGTCGCGTCCACGTCGGTCAGCTACCAATGCACCCCGCACGTCCCAAACCAACGGCACTCGGGCGCTGGGGACGGATGACGAGCTATCCGACGGCGACGGCGACGAAGAAGAACCCCTGAACGCTGAGCAAGACGATGCACCCTCGGCTGCTGCCGACTCGGCACACGCCGCCGACGCAGATCATCGCCAGCATCGCTCGCCAGACGGCTTCCTGCCTGGCGCCATCCGCCGCATCGCGCTCTCCAACTTTCTCACCTACGACTCGGTCGAGTTCCACGTAGGACCCTACCTCAACCTCATCTGCGGCCCCAACGGCACCGGCAAGAGCAGCATCGCCTGTGCCATTGCGCTCGGCCTCGGCGGCGCACCAGCCCTGCTCGGTCGCGCCTCGCAGCTCGGCTCGTTCGTCAAGCGCGGCGAGACGCAAGGCTGGATCGAGATCGAGCTGCAAGCCGCGCCCGGCGACACCAACCCCATCATCAAACGCACCCTCACCACCGCCAGCAACAAGAGCGACTGGTTCCTCAACCGCCGCGCCTCCACCAAAAACGCCGTGCTCGAGGCGGTGGCCGAGTTCAACATCGACGTGGCCAACCTGTGCTCCTTCCTGCCCCAGGACAAGGTGCACGAGTTTGCCAAGATGACCGACGCCAAGCGGCTCGTCGAGACCGAAAAGGCGGTCGGCGGAGAGCGCCTCGTGCGCTGGCAAGCCAAGCTCAACGCACACGGCAAGCAGGCCGCCGAGATCGCCACCAAGCTCAAGGAGAGGCAGGACGAAAAGGCGCACCTCGAACAGCGCAACCAGGCGCTGCAGGTGGATGTGCAGCGATTCGAGGAGCGCAAGCAGATCCAGGAGCGCATCGAGCGCCTCGAAGTCATGCTCGCCATGGCAGACTACAACCGCACCAAGCGCAACGTGCAAGAGCTCCAGCAGGAGCGCGATGCGCGTCGCCAGCAGCTCGCCGAAATCGCGCAGCGCGGCCAGCCCGTGCGTCAGAAACGCACCGAGCTCGAAGAAAAGACGACCAAGCTCAACCTCGAGCTGGAGCGCCTCGAGAGCGTGTACGCCAGCGACGACAAGAAGCGGCGCAGCCTGGCCAAGACAGTCGAGGAGCTCGGCGGCGAGATCGAGACCAAGCTCACCGAGGTGGGCATGCTCAACCGCAAGGACGAGGACCGCACGCGGCGCCTCGCCGAGCTTCGCAAGGAGATCGCCGAGCGCTCCGCGAGTCTGGGCGACGAGCCGGGTGCGCAGGATACGGCCGAGGTGGAGGCGGCCATGCGTGCCGCGCGCGCCCAGCAGGACGACTGCTCGACGCGCTGCAACGACATGCAGCGCCAGCTGCAGGACGTGCGCGTCGAGAGCCAGACCATCGACCGCGGCATGCAGAACTACCGCGAGCAGCTGGCGCAGCTCGACAATGTGCCGCAGCAGCGTCTCGAAAAGATCCGGTCGGCGGACGAGCACGTGTACCGTGCGACCATGTGGCTGCGCGAGAACCAGCACCGCTTCCGCAAGCGCGTGCACGAGCCCGTGCTGCTCGAGATCGCGCTCAAGGACCAGCGGTATGCGGCGGCGGTGGAGTCGTGCATTCCGTGGGTGGTGCAAAAGTCGTTTGTGTGCCAGACGCGAGAGGACTACGACACATTTACGCGCGAGCTCATCGACACACAAAGGCTGCGCATCACGGTCGCCGAAGTGGAGGGCATTGCGCTCGACAGCATGCGGGCCGATGTGCCGCGCGAGCAGCTTGCGGGCCTGGGCTTCGAGTCGTACGTGATCGACCTGATCGACGGGCCCGAGGACGTGCTGGTGCATCTGTGCCGACAGTCGCATCTGCACAGGATGCCCATTACACTCAATCCCAACGTCGACGTGGAGCGCATCGAGCGCTCGGGCAAGTTCCGACGCTTCATTGCGGGCGGCGAGAATTTTACGATCAATGTCTCGCGCTACGGTGCGGACGTGCGCCAGACCGTGTCGCGCCGCATTGGGCCTGCGCGCAGCCTGGTGGATGCGGTGGACCGCGAGCGCCAACGTACGCTGTCGACCAAGATCCAGGAGCTGAGCGACAAGAAGAAGCAGCTCGAGGCCACCACGCGCACGCTGCTCAAGGGCGACCAGGCGCTCAAGGCGGAAAAGGCGCGGTACGACGAGCGGCTGGACGAGCTGCAGCGCGAGCGGCGCGACAAGGTGGGGGCGCAGAAGCAGTGGCAGCGCGAGCGAGCGCTCATCGAGGCGCGTCGGCGCGAGTTGCGCGACAAGGAGCGCGAGCCGTCGCGCGAGGAGAAGCGCGCGCGGCTGATGAAGGAGGTGCGCGCGCTGGCGCAGCGGCGTGCGCACAAGGCGCAGGACCTGTGTGCGCAGGTGGTGCAGATGAGCAAGGTGGGCGACCGTCGGCATGCGGCGTCGCTGAGCAAGTGGCAGTGGGACGCGTGCGGCGTGCTGATCGACAATGCGCTGCGCGACGTGCACGAGGCGGAGCGCGAGGCAGCGGCGGCGTTGGAAGCGGCGCAGGCGGCGCATGTGCGTGCACGGCGCGAGGCGGCCGACCTGCGCGCGCACGTCCAGCGTCTCATCGACGAGGCCGGCGATCTCGTTGCCGGTCTGGACCCGAACGACGACGAGCTGCTCGACACGGATCGGTGCAGTGCTGAACTGCGCGCCGAGCAGAGTAAGCTCGATCTGGCCGAGGGCGTGCGGCCGGAGGTGATTGAGCAGTACCGTGCTCGGCAGCGCGAAATCGCCTCGCTGTCCGACGAGCTCGAGGCGTTGGGGGAGCTTCAGACGCAAACGACGGCGCGGATTGCATCCATCCGCGCCAGGTGGGAGCCGCTGCTTCGTCGGCTGGTGGGTCAGGTGTCTCGAGAGTTCTCGCGTGCTTTTGACAGTATGGGTCTGGCGGGCGAGTTGCGCATTGTCGAGGATGGCGACTTTGAAAAGTGGAAGCTGGAAATCATGGTCAAGTTCCGCAACGCCGAAGAGCTCGCTCCGCTCTCTGCCCAGCACCAGTCGGGAGGCGAGAGGACGCTGAGTACGATCATGTACATCATGAGTCTGCTCCAGCTCTCTCGTTCGCCGTTTACGCTGGTGGATGAGATCAACCAGGGCATGGATCCGACGGCGGAGAGGGTGACGCACAACCACATTGTCGCCTTGACCTGCCAGCCACATGCGAGCCAGTACTTTTTGATCACGCCCAAGCTGCTTCCCGACCTGGCGGTGCATCGGAGGCAGAAGGTGCTGCTCGTCAATAATGGCGTGTATGCCCAGAAGAGGTTCAAGCTGGGTCCGATCTTGGAGGCCAAGAGGCGAGCCCAGAGGGCGTGATTGGGCAATGCAAAACCATCACGGCGCGAGACCGAGCGTGTTTTGAGCAGGTGTGAAATGCAGAGAGTGTGGAATTAAAAGCAGTTGGATGCTGGAAGAAGCAGTTGGATGCTAGTGTTACAATGCGATGCGAGTGATGGAAGAGGGGGGAAGGAAAGCAGTTGGATGCTGGTGATACATGCGATGCGAATACAGGGTTGCCAAGGTGAAGGGGCAAGAGCAGTTGGATGCTGCGACTGGCGTGTGGATACAAAGATTGACGATTGATTAGCAGTTGGATGCTGTTCATGCGAGGGGATGGGGTGGAGAGGAGGGGAGCAGTTGGATGCTAGCGATGGCTAGATGAGGCCATGCGCGGTGAGCAGTTGGATGCTAGGTATACGTGCGCCCTGCAACAAGGGATCCAAGCCGGTGGATGCGAGAATTGTCATGAGCGGTGAACGTGGCAGTTGGATGCTAGCGACGCGCAGCATGTCGGGCGAACCATGCATGACGCAAGATTTGGCAGTTGGATGCCATATGTAGCGAAGTTGTCCGTTCAGCGTGGCTCTACCAGCGCGTGACGTCTTCGACCTCTCCAAACACGCTTTCCTTTACCTGCTGCTGTTGGTGCTGCACCTGCAGCCTTGGCCTTTGATAAATCTCGGCCAACGTCTTTCTGAGGAAAGCGCCAACGCTGGCATTGATCTGTTCGAACTCGAGCAGGAATCCGTCGTGGCCATCGGAGCTCTTGACGCTCACAAACTCGCTGCCGCGTACGAGGTCGTGGATGAGCATCTGCTCGGGCGGCGCAAAGAGTCCATCGCTCTCGATGCTCACCACCAACACTGCTGGTGGTTGCACCTTGCCCTCCACCGCCTCGTGCGCGCTCAGCACATCGAGAACACGCATGAGCGCTGCATCCTCCGCTTCCTCCGTTTCCGGTCGAACGCCCGAGTCGAGAACTACGCCCGTGATGCGGTCCGAGGTGCGAAGCACACGCCACCCCCAGCGAGAGCGCGCCACATCGTGCGTGTCCATCTTGCGCGTAAGGTGGATGTAGCAGTTGGCATCGAAGCGCCGCACGAACTTGTCGCCCTGGTAGCGGAGGTAGGACTGCGCCGAGAAGATCTCCGGTGCGGTGCTGGGCGAGAACGGTTCGACGAGCCGCTCAACTGCCTGGTCCGAAAGCTCCGTGGGTGCATGTGGCACCGCCGGGACAGGAGGTGTGGTGGCGGTGGGCGAAAGCGATGCACCGTTGGGGCCGGCAAAGTAGCCGTTGAGCGGCGAGTTGGAGCCGTACGGTTTGACGCGTGGCGAGAGGTTGCCTTCGTTGTGGGCGGCAGCGGCATCGTGTGCGAGCGAGCGGCGACGCTGGTCGTCGAGGGTCTTGGCTTGCGCTTCGCTGTGTGCGTCCGGAACGGGGAGAGCGGCACCGCCGCCCTTGAGCGCCTTGCCGACGCGACGGCCGAAGCGCGATTCGAAGCTGTCGCGCGAGCGGTAGGTGAGGAGCGCTGCCATGCGTGCGGCCGAGAGCCCGTTGCGCGGCGGCTCGGCAGGAAGGTAGTAGCCGTGCTTAAAGAGCGGGTCCGAGTAGATCGACTGGCGCTGGGCCTCGGCCCACGAGATGCACCATGCCGAATGGCGCGCCGATGTGGCGAGCGGCACGATCGCCTGGATGTATCGTGCGGTCGAGTCTGCACGACCGGGCCAGCGCGTGGGGAAGACGAGCGGCCACTCGAGCACCGCCATACCGCCCATCGAGCCGCCCACCACCGCTGCAACGCTCTCTACCCCCAAAAACTCGAGCACGAGCTTCTGGATGCGCACGTCGTCGCGCACGGTCGTGGCGGGGAATTCGGGGCCCCACCAACCCTGCCCGTCCCACTGCATCTTGGCCTGTGCGGTTGCATCGATCGCTGCGGCATCATCGCCGTGTTGGGCCCAGGACGATTCGCCGCCCGCCTGCGTACACGAGGATGCGGATCCGTACGGGCTGCCGAGCACATTGCAGCACACGACGAAGAAGCGCGAGTAGTCGAACACCTTGTCGACACCCAGCAGCGGGCCCCACCAGTCCTCTACGTCTGCGGAGCCGGTGAGTGCGTGGCAGACGACGAGCGCATTGTCGCGCGTATCCGCCAGACGGCCCCACGTCTTGAAGGCGACGGGGACGTCGGTGAGTGTGATGCCGGACTCGAGCGTGAAGCGCGGGAAGAGGAGGTAGCGCTGTCGGCCGGCGAGCAGGCTGGACTGTGGCGAGGTTGGACCTGGGATCTCGCGCGGACGCGGCAGCAGATGATCGTTGTGCGCCATGGTGTCGAGGGCAGCAGAGGATGGTGGGCGACAAGCAAGCATGACTCGGTGCGAGGCGACGCACGTTTGGCGGCAATAAATCAATCCGAGAAATGGTGTGATTGCGCCTTTTTTTCTTCCCGGATGCACTGCCGGTGCGAATCGGCGATGAATGTCTAACATCGCCGATCCGGGCGGCCGGAGGGAGGAGGAGGCACGTGTGGACGTCGCGTTGGGATCGGCGGTGGACTGCATCCGAGCCCGGTCGATCGCACACCACCATCATCTCGTGCAACATGTCGGACGTTCGCAGCTCGGCATCCGTGCCCGTGCCGCTATCGCCCACGCTCTCCGCCACATCCTCGTCGGTCTCTACAACCGCCACGGTGCTCGACACACACACGGGGCCCAAATCGCTCGTCAACCTGCGCAAGCAGCTCAAGTACCTCATCATCGGCGGCGTGCTTACCTCGTACTTTCAGGTGTACTCGCACCTTGCCGATGCGCTGTCGCTGGGAGTGTCGTCGAGCTCTGCAAAGCTGGCGTTGCTGTCCGTGGTGCTGTTGGTGGCGACGGTGGTGTTGTTTGGCTATGTGATTCTGCTACCTGCACGCGGGCAGACGGTCAACTACATTGAATGGCGATCCGACTCGCGCCTCTCGACGTCCATCCCCCTGCTCACCGCCAGCATCATCCTTGGCTGGATCACGTTGCTCGTCACGCTGAGTCCGGTGGGTGCACCCGCTCCACCGTCGAGGTCGATCCGAGAGAGACTGCAGCAGGCAGCCAAGTTCACGGGGCTCGATAGTCAGGCGCGCATCAACGATCTCCCCGCACGCGTGCTGGGCGAAAGCTGGGACAAGATCGCAGCCAACTTGGGGCTCACCAAGAGCAGCTCGACACGGTTGGGCGAGTACTTTGCAGCCATGGGCCAGAGGGCCGAAGAGTGGGCGCGCCACAACATGCGCACTGTCGGCTGGACGGGTGCGATCGCCGGATCAGTAGGAACCTATCTGGTCGTCTTTGGCGCCATTGGCCTACTCGGCTTCCTGGCCCCTCAACCTTCGACGAAGCCCAAGCGATTCTAGTGGATTTCCCGGCTTAGGTTTGGGTACAAATACAATCAATAAAGAAAATCTAGTTACATCAGGCGTGGGTGGTTTGCGAGGCTTTATGAAGACTGCGCTTGACTTGGGCCACGGCGAGTTTGCCGACACGGTGGGAGAAGCTGTCGTTGATCGGTTCGCCCATGGCTTTTCGTCGGCGACGCTTCATGCGCTGTCGGAACTGGCGCTCAATGAACTGGAAGATGATGGCGTCGATGGCGCCCTGTGCAAAGATGAGCCAGCGCGAGAGTTGGTGTAGCCAGTCGTGGGCATTTCGAACCGACGCCGCCGGATCCGCCAGATCCACCGCCAAGCGGGCAATCGAGATGGAAAATAGCAGACAGTAGGCGGCGGGGTAGAGGAGCAACAACAACGACGCCTGTCGGTTCAGTGTGGACCCGATCGACTCGACGCCGTTTTCGTCTTGCGACGATGTGGAGGATGTGCCCGTGTGCAGGCCCGTGTCGTCGCGAACGCGCTTGGAGCTGCGTGCATGCTCGTTCTTGGTGGTGACGTCCATACCCCAATTCCAGTCGTCGCCGAGCGACTCTTCAAAGGCTTCCTTGCTGGGCATCTCGACGACCACTTCGCCGGGGAGAATTTGGACCGCGCTGCTGCGGCGGTCCGAGGCGAGACCGGTGCGTGCGCGCGCCATCTCGTCGTCGCCCATCGCCAGGATATCGGCCATGCGTGCGTAGCTGCGCACCGGCGCCGTGTAGTGCTTCAGATGCTCCACCGGCGGCGTCATCATGTCAAAGTCACCCGCGTCTTTGCGGGGACGCATGCGCCGCGATCCCTCGTCGCTATCCACGCTCTCGACGTCCGTATCGCGCGCGGTGGCGTAGCGCGAATCGCCTGCAGACGCGCGTCGGGCCGTGCTAGCCTCGCGCTTCTCTGCACCACTGGCACCCGCCGTGACGGGCCGCCGAGATGCGGTGGGACGCTGTGCATCGTCCGAGCCGCGCGGGAAGGAGGCGTTGAGCGGCGCACTCGACCCCTTGGCCGAGAGCGACGCGGACGGCCCCGCACCGGCAGACGAGGCGTTGGAGGGCGAGTGAGCGGTGATGGAGGATGCGTCGTAGTGCGGCGCATTCGCACGTTCAATGTCGAGCTGCGCAGGCATGCGTGTGCGCGGCGACGCCATGGTGTAGTTCGGGTCCATCACACCGCGTGGGCCAGTGTAGGAGAGCAGGCCGGAGAGCGAGGTGTCGGCGTTGTCCTCGTCGTCTTTGGAGTAGGCGTCGGCGTAGGAGTGATTGCGTCGACGCGATGCTGGATCGAGCGTGGTCATCTCTACGCTTGCGTCCTTTTCGCCGAGCGACGAGGAGCGCCTGCGAGCGAGGGTGGGGTCGTTCTTGTTGAGCACGGGCGGCGCGATGCGGCTTGCGTTGGAAGTCTTTGTGGAATGCTCGGTGGACGACGAGGGAGCCGAGGAGGCGTGTTCTTGTGGTGCTGGTGGTGCGACGAGAAGAGCTTGGTGGTGAGCGGCGTTGGCGTTGAGCTGGGGTTGAGATTGGGGGTTGGCGGATCGCTGTCTGCTGCGGCTGAGCGAGTTGGAGTGGTTGGCTCTGGAGAAGAGGTTGGTGCGGCGCAAGAAGAAGAAGAGGTGGGTATAGAGGCAGAGGATGACGACGAACACGACTGCGCGCGGGACGAACTGAAAGAGCGAGGTGAAGAGGAAGGGCGTGGTGAAGGCGCAGTAACCGCCGCGAAAGCCGAATCCGCCCAGCGCAAAGGGGATGGCATTGATGGCGAACGAGAGCAGCCAAAAGATGGGCCACAGCCAGCGCACGCGCTTCTCGACGGTGAGGGTAAAGTTGGAGAGCGGATGAACGAGGATCATGTAGGTGACGATGGCGATGGAGAGATTCCAGAGGTGCTGGGAAAAGATGGAACTGACGAGGATGTAGCCGAGCAAGGTGCAGGGCTGGTGGTGCTGTACGAGGTTGATGTTGGCGATGAGGCATGCGGTGGTGATGATGATGACGACCGAGGTGGCGAGGTCGGAGGTGGCGAGGCCGAGGATGAGCGCGTGGCGGAGCTTGCGGCTGCGACGGTTGAGGACGTAGGGCAGGATGATGGCGATGGCGCCGAGAAAGGAGAGGCAGCAGATGACCATGTCGACGATGTTGCCGGTGGTGCCGACGCTCTCGCGCTGGAAGGTGGCATTGGGGTCGGTGGTGTTGTCGACCTGGACGACGCGCACCGAAGGGTCGTCCTGGTGCCACACCCTTGCGAGCGGCGGCAGGGCGGACACGAGGGCGGCGGCGCTCATGGTGTCGAGACTAAGCGCGCTAGAAAGCGTGGCGTGAGGCGAATCGGGACATGCGTCGTTGGCCGTTCCGTTGCACGTTGGTGGTGTGTTGGTGGGTGGTGGGAGTGCAAGGACGAGCCGGACGAGGAGATGGCGTCGAGGCCAAAGGCCAAGGTCAGGGCCAAGGTCAGGGCCAAAGCAGCGTCCAAACCAGCGTCCAAAGCAGGCACCCAACAGTCAGCGCCAAAGCAGAGTCGCCCAAAGCCGAGAGACAGGAGAGCTGCCGTGCGTTTGTGCTCCGCTCCCACTCGGGCTCTCTCTCTCTCTCTCTGTCATCTGCCGCTGCCCACAATCATTCGCCGCGCCGCGCCGGGCGGGTTTTTCTTTTCGGCAGTAAATTTTGGAAAATCGGGCAGAGCAAGTGCCGCGTCGGATTGGGGAGCTGCCAGCTTTGCCAGCTTTGCCCGCTTGGAGCGTGGCTGGACTGCATAAATGAGTTTGGCAGCTGATCTACCGAAGATTGGATTGCGTTCGAGTCGATGTGCCGCACGATCTGGCTGATTCGGCAGGAGGGTGCGCCCGATCCAGCAAGTCAGTCACGCTGCTGGTTGGGTGGCCAGGAGCGGGATCAGCAGCCGCTGCCCAAAAGCAGATGCCGTGCCGAGCAGCCATGCACACCACCGGATGCTGCAGCGGTTGGGCGACGCAGGCGACGCAGGCGAGCAGGACAGCAGGCGAGGTGGTGGCTGTTGGCGGTTGGCTGTTGGCGGTTGGCGAATGAATGCACCTCCAATATGCAGGCACGCAACCATGCTCGAGTTCATCCGTCGCTCCGCTGTCCCCTCGCTCACATCGGCAATCCATCGCCAAAGGCCCGACTCGACGCATCTTGGCATGGGCATGGCACGCTGACACTGGCTGCAACGCCCGGTCTCAACTAGCCACGCTAGCCGAGCAATCATGCCTCGGTGCCAAAGCGGAGTTGCACTCCTCCGCCGCTGGATCGTCTGCGTAAAAGAAAAAAAGGCAGTGGCTCGGTGCAGGCGGAGTTGCAATCCACATCCTCGCTTCCCCCAAATTCTCGTCCCGACCTGGGAATCTTCGCCAGGCGCCGGCTGGGATCGCATCGGCTTGTCAACGGCGCGTCGATGCGAAAATACTCCTTGCAGCCCCGGTCGAATGCGCCACTGGACGACAAAACCTAACAGCCTTCACTCCCCATCCCACGACACAAACGCCGACACTCGCGACTCGGCATGATGGATTGACAGCTCGATGAGAGTGACTACTCGCTCGCAAGTGTAGCCTGCCTCGGCTCTGGCTTTCTTGGTTCGTCGAAGACAGCAGCTGGCTCCTCCGCTTCCTCCTTCATCGCTTCGGCGGGCAAGGCATCCACCGCCTCGACCTTGACTGTCGCTTCTCCATCCGGTGCTGGCGCCAGCCCGGCCGAGCCGGGCTCTTGCTTTGTGTGTATCGCATCGGCATCATCCGATGCCTTGACTGGCTCTTCTTCCGCCCCGATCGCTTCCGATTGGACCTGCTTCTCGTGCGGCTCCTCCTTGTCCATGAATGTGCTGAGCTGTTCGTCCGGCTTGGGCTCCGGCTTGGGCTCCGGCTTGGCTGCTCTCTGCGCCTGCTCCGCCAGCTGAGCCGGCTGCGGATTCTGCTGCACCAAGCTGCGGCTCAACAGCACCTGGCTGATGCTCGCAAACAGCTGCTCCTCCTCGTCGCTCATCTGCCTCGGTCCCTCCTTGCCCGTCGTCCTCGCCGGCGCAAACGGCTGCACCTCGCGTGCAAAGTTGTGCAGCGCCGTCTTGCAGATCAGCTCGCTCGCTTGCTCCAGTGTCTGCGTCCGCACGCGCACTGCCTCCATCTCGGCCTGCGCGCGCTGCGCCTTTCGCGCCTTGCCTCTCGCAGGCGCACCGCGCTCGCCGTACTCGAGCACGTCCAGCGCCGCACCGAGCTGCATCGACGCAAAGAAAAAGTTGACAAACAGCGTGTGCGCCAGCACCCTTGCGTCGTGGATCGTCGTGTTGGGCAGTCCGATCGCCAGCCACGTTGGATACTCGGGTGCCACCAGCATGCACAGCTCCGCAGCAAGCAATCCCAACAGACACGCCAGCCGCCAGAAGCTCACCCCGTCCCCACCACCGTTGATCCATCCGAACAGCGCGTACATCGCAGGATTGATCGTGTAGAATCCCACCAGCCCAGTGAGGCCGCGTCGCATAAAGTCGCGCGCCGACTCGCAGTCCTTCCACTCCACCACCTCGGCACCAAATCGGTCGTATGCGAATCGCTTGACTGGGTCAGACAGCGCATCGTGGGCTTTGCGCAGTACGATGAAGATCGCTTCGCCCGGCTCGCCCACTTTGTCCGGATGGTAGCGTCGTGCCAAGGCGCGGAAGGACCGCTTGACTCCTTCGCCGTCCACATCTAGCGGCAGCCCGAGCAGTTGGTAGTAGTTGGGTTGCGCAGAAAGTGCCGCGTTGACGAGCTGATATACGAGCGTGCCAATGATGACGGCGGTGCGTGCGAGTTGTGCGTGGTTGTTCCGGCGTTGGTGCGCATCCGCCGCTGGAGGCGTGACGAGGCGCAGCGAGTAGCACGCGTTGAGCAGCAGCTGCGACCCGAACGACGGCAGCCACCACCACGTCAGCAGCGACGTGGCCTGCACCACGTCCACCTTCATTGCGATGGCGATGCTCTTCCGTGGGTGTGGGGATGGTCGTTGCTAAGCAGCAAGTGTTGTTTTGTTGGTCTCTCGATGGGTTTGCTGCGCCAGGGTCCACACCATCACGTAAGCATGACACCGCCTCCATTTGCACTTTTTTTTGGCGGCCGGCCGGCGCTGCAAAAAAATTCCCAGCCAGAGCAACACTCTTCCTAATTTTCTTCACTCTGGGCGCAGCAGCACACGACCAGGGTCCACTTTGCTACACTCTCTACCGCACCGCCATCATCGCATCCCACACCGGCAGGCACACACGCAACCATGCCGGCTGTCAAGCGCAAAGCGGCTGCGTCCAGCAGCGCCGCCAAGAAGCCTGGAAAGCACTCCCGGCCCAGCGCAGCACGCGCACCCAAGCTCGCCCAGCAGCTCGACATGTACATCCGCCGATCCGACGACGAGTCTGAAGACGACGAACCGCCCGCAGTCAAACAGACCAACGGCACAACCAAGGCCAAGGCCGAAGCCGAAGCCGAGTACGAGCCCGAGTCGGACGAGGCGTCGGACGTGGCCAGCGACGACGATGTCGACGTCAAGACGGTTTCGGCGTCCAACCTGGCGTTCCTCCAAGGCCTGGATAGCAACAAGGCGATCAATGTGTCTCAGAAGGATGCAAAGCAGAAGGCAAAGGAGCTCAAGCGTTCCGACCGCAAAGCGTTCGACGACGAGCGCAGGCGTGTCACCGCCGAGAAGAAGGCACGTCTCACACAGCCGCCCTCGGACGATGACGACGACGACGACGACTTGGATTCGGACCTGATGGACGACATCGAAGACGAGCCGGAAAGGGTGATGGAGAAGAAAAACTACCAGGAATACAGCGATGTCTCCGAGGGCGAGGAGGTCGTGTCCGAGGACGAGGCGCGCAAGCGCCCGACCAAGTCGCACAAGGCAGATGAGGATGCAGAGGCGGCGTATATGGCGCGGCTTGGGAAGCGCAAACAGCGCGAGCAGCACCAGCGCGAACAGGAGCGCAAGCTGCGCGTCAATGCCAAGCTGCCCGTGCGCAAGCTCGACGGCGATATCAGCGACGACTCCGACTCGGAACCCGAAGACAGGCAGGATTCGGAGCCAGAGGGGCTTGGCTCGGACGCCGGGTCCGAGTCGGACGACGATCGGGCGCAGAACAGCCGTGCGGTGCATGCACCCATCCCCCGAGCTGCCAGCCCGTCAGACGACGAGACTGCGCCGTCTACATCTACACCGGTGGTGCATTCGTCCATCACCCACTCGGCGCGGTTCAACCTGACGGCGCCGTACGAGATCCTGCTGACCTCGCATGCGTGTCGGCTGCCACCGGCGCCGGCGTCGCGCAAAGCCGCACCCGCCCACCGCGCCGCCGTGGCCGCAGCGCACAAACAGACGCTGCTGCTCGCGCGCAACCAGATCGCATCGCTCGCGTCCCAGATCATCGCCGACCCCGAAGTGAACCTCGGCCTGCTCAGGCGGCTGGCCGTGTTTGCCGGTCCCACCATCTCGGCGCCTCCGGAAAAGATCCCCGAGATCCGCGCAGAGCAGGCAGCAGCCAAAGCCGCCGGCTCCAAATCCACCGCGCGCCCCGTCAAGATCGAGGTGGCACCTGCGATTCGTCAGCTAGCCATGGTATCGCTCCTCGCCGTGTTTGTCGATATCCTGCCTGGCTACCGCATTCGCAGCCTCACGGAGAAGGAGCAGGACGACAAGGTGGGTCAGGAGATCGCGCGGCGTCGAGAGTACGAGGCGGGGCTAGTGGCGGTGTACCGCGATTTCCTCGAGCTGTGCGAAGCCGAACTCAAGGCCGCCAACGCCGGCCCCGAAGAGAAGGTCAAGCCGGGCGTGGGCAAGTTGGAGGGAGCGGCGATTCGAGTATTCAGTACGCTGGCGGTCCGGGCGGTGCACTTTAACTTCCGCCAGAACATCCTGGGAGTTGTAGTGGCGCGCATGTCCAGACGACAGTGGGGCGAGGAGGAGCTGGCCTGCTATGAGGCGATCAAGACGGTGGTGCTGGGCGACCTGACGGGCGAGATCTCGCTCGAGGTGGTGCGGTTGATCCATCGCATGACCAAGGAGCGACGATTCAAGGTCAACTCGCGCGTGCTCGACGTGCTCCTGCATCTCCGCCTGCGCGACGAGTTGGGAAGCAAGAGGAGCAGTACGACGAATTCGACGGATCCGGAGAAAGACGCGGCACGGGCGTTCAAGGAGGCCGAGGAGAGGAGGGCGGCGATGAAGGCGCGCGAAAAGAGGGGCAAGGGGGGGAAGGCCAAGGCGCGCGAGGTGCGCAAGGGCGCAGCGGTGCATCTGAGCAAGAAGCAGGTCAAGAAGCAGAAGGAACTGCGCGCGATCGAGGACGAGATGAAGGAGGCCGAGGCTACGGTCGATCTCGAGCTGAGGGAGAGGAACCAGACGGAAACACTCAAACTCGTGTTTGTGCTGTACTTTACGCTGCTCAAGGCGCCGGTGGGAAGCGTGGCGGCGGGGGTGTTGGAGAGCGGGATGAGGGGGTTGAGCATGTATGCTCACCGAGTCAATGTGGACTTCTTCCGGGACCTTCTTAAAGTGCTCAAGGTGCACGTTGCCACCAATGCTGCTCTTCTCACCACCACCAACGATGACTCGGACTCGGAATCGGACGACGAAAACATCCTGCTCGACCAGTCGGTGTTGACGCGGGTGATTAGGCAGATCATCGTGGCGCTCAAAACCACCTTTGATCTCTTCCTCAACCAGGCGCAGGGTACGATTCTCAACTTGGATCTGACGGACATGCTGTCGCACCTGTACTACGTGCTCTTCTTCCTGCCCTTCACCTCTGGCGATGCGAGCGACCTTGCACTCGACACGATCTACGCAATCCTTGTGCGCTCTGCGTCGGACCAGCAGGTGCAGGCGGCGTTTGCGAAGCGGTTGTCGGTGGTAGCGCTGCAAATGCCTGCTGCGATGGCCAAGAAGACGCTGGGGATTGTGGGGCATTTGATCGCCAAGAACAGCGCCAATGCGGCACTGTTGGATCTGGACGACCAGAGCAGGAACGGAACGTACAATGCAGACGGGGCCAATTTGGCAGCTACGGGCGTGTTGGAAAGCGGCCAGACGGTGCTGTGGGAGCTGGCGCACTTGACTAAGCAGAGCAATGCGGAGCTGGCGCACAAGGCCAGAGACGTCTGGGCGCTCAAGGATGCCATCTAGCGCGCATGCGCGACACAGACTCGCGTGCGTGGAAATCTAGAATGGTGTCAGTACCTTTCATGTGGTGGCCGAGTGTGTGGTTGTGACGGGTGTAAGGATTGCGGTGTCAAGGCGATCCTACACAATGCGAAGGCGGGTAGTTTTGCAGACTCGACCCGAACAGTGGCGTTGGCTTGGAGCATTGGCAGGGGGCGATGCATTTGGCGACGGATGGTGAGCTGGACCAGCAGATTGTCCTGCTCCTCAAGGTCATGACCTGGTCTAATCCGACCAGGTCGCTCTGCTTGAGCGGGTTGACTCGATGGTGTCGCGCTCGTGCCACTCCTGTGCGGAGCAGACAGGAAGGTCAGTCGTCGACCTCATCAGGGTCAGTCGATACCACTGCGCGTCGAGATGTGATCGACGCTCACAGCACATCGCTAGGTCACACATTGTCGCAGTTCGTGCTTAGGCTCGTAGTGCGTCTGTCGCGCCGAATACCAGACGCGGATTCGAGGCGCAAAGCATCGCAGTCTAAACTGGCTATCCCCAAACATCCCGGCGCCATTTCTGACTCTCGCAGCGCATCCATGGCTCACTTGGCCATCGTACAGCTCACCTCCCTGATGCATCCTCAGAATCTCAGCTTGGCATCCCTACAAACATCCAAAGCACACGCGGTCGACTCAGACTCAATCAAATGCCAAAAAAAGTCCCCAAGAGCAGCCACTAGAACAACGGACCTGCTAGAATGCGGTTTCAACTGTCCTCTGACAATCGAGCCACCGGACCAGTGCAACCACGAGCTCAATGCGCGACACGTATGGCCGCTCCAAGAGCACCATCTAAACATTCGGCGTGTAGAAGCAAATGCAAAATTGTCCGTGCAAAACAAAGAGAGGGAGGCAGAGGCCGGGCTACTGGTACGACTGGAGCGTAAAGGGACAGGCGACATTGTTGATCTGCGTATTGGTCGCCTTCCTGCCGATCAAGCCGGTGATGTCCATGCTGAGCTGGATGGCCAGGTTGAGTGTAGGCCTTGACTGGCCCTGGATATTGGGTCCACAAGCCGTATAAAAGTCCTGCCAGGTCTGGTCGCCAGTAGCATTGATGCTGACGTAGCTGAAATGCACCGGCATCTGAAACACGGTATTGCCGCGACCTTTGAAGGAGAGACTGTCGAGCTCGCCCTTGCCGACGGTGCGGTAGGTGTTGAGATCGGTGACTTGCATCTTGATGTCGCGCGCGTGGGATGCGATCCATCCGCCGCGGTTGTTCGCGCGAAGGTTGAAGCCCATGTCCATGCTGAAGTTCGTCGGGCTGTGGTTGACCTGCATGCTGGCACCGTTCGGAATGGCCACGACGGGGTTGGTGGTAAGGATGGCAAATGTGGGCACGCGGGGGATGACAAAGTACAGCAATACGCCGAGGGAGGCCAGGAGGAAAAACGCGAGGAATACGGCTACGCGGGGACTGAGCCAGCCCCAGAGATGGTCTTGGCCCGACACCCAGAGGGAGCAACGTTTGGTGCGGGCGGAGCGTTTGCGTCGGCGCTTGGAGGAGCGCGTCATGTCGCGCAGTTCCTCCTTGGTGTATTCGTTGCCGAGTGCGGGGACGGTGATGAGCTCGATGCCGGTCGAATCGGCGTGTTGCGGTCCGACGCCGCTGATCGCATTCGGCGCGCCACCGGCCGAGAAGGTCGACATGCGGTTGGGTGCGGTGCTGGCGATCATCGAGCGGCGCGGATCGGTGTTCCGAACGTCAAAGCCAAAAGCTTCGGAGGGTAGGAGCGACTTGCGGTTACCGGGTACGTCGGCGTAAGGCGTGTCGATCAGCGAGGCTTTGCTGGCATCCCAGTAGGCATCGGACTGCGACGCGAGCCCGGAGGTCGAGGTGCGCTGAGGCATGGGCCGCGTCATGTTGAAATCGTCGTACACATTCCAGTCCTCGTCGTCGTCGTCGTCATCGTGGTGGTCATCGTCCGGTGCACGCGCGTAGCCGTTCGAGTTGGCAGGCCGCGCATCGTAAGTGCCCGACCCGGCGATGGGCAGTGAGGGAGACTCGAGCGACGCGCGAACGGGGTAGTCGAATGGCGAATCGGAAGCCGGAGGGTTGGTGCTGTATGCATCCGCTGCCGAAGTATAATGATACGCCATGGCTGACGATGCGGTGCAATGAGGCAAAGGTTGAGATGGTGGAGGAGGGGTTGGGGATGAGGCCGCAGAGAGGGGTATTTCGAGCCCTCATTCCGATGGCTGCATCTCTCGCGCCCCGCCAGCACAGCACCGCACAGCGCCGCACATTTGCCCACCCAACAGCGTCCGTCGACTTCAGGGTGCAGCGCCACGCCAAATCCTCCGCTCCGGCCACTTTGACCTTCAGACGGCGCTTTTCCGACGCGCTCTTCTGCATGCCTCGCGCATTTTCCAAAAAAAAAAAA